ACAAGATTTGATTAAATAAACTAACCATGGTTTTAAATAAACTAATAGTTTCAAGTTAACCATAGGAAGCCCAACAAATTTTGAGTCTTGATTTCACTCAACTCAAAACAAAGTCATACATTGGTAAAAGATTTTTAATTGATGTGAGAGAATAATTATACCTTCAGTCGAACTACTGAGAAAGGCTTTCAGCTTGTTTTATGATGTAATGTCTTCTTCTTCCGGATTTTTCTATTCTTCTTGCTTGATTTCTGTCAAATATGAAATTTATTTAAGATGTTATAAAAAATTATCATATATAAACATTTTTTCACATAAATAAAATTGTACTGATGCACTCTGAGTACCTCAATAGTAGACCAAAGCCCACCACTGATCCTCATGTACTCTATCTGGTCGATGAGCCAACCTTTTTGCATCATTCTTGAAGGGTTTGTATCCCATTGTTTTCACTCAACTTTTCCAATCTCTCCATTTCTTCCCAAATGAAGCCATTATTGTTTTCTTCATGGATTCATCTACATCTATATGAACCTGCATTACAATTATACACACTTGTAATATGTGTCAACTACACTTGTAATATGCATTTCATATGGAATCCAATTGTAACTAACACTGCACCTTTTCAACTTATTTCATATTAAATATCCATATTTACCTTTATTTCCCTCCATATGTTATCTTTATTTTGTTGTGAGACATAATGCCAAGTCGTAAAAGTGAGTGGTGCAAGACTCTCATCTCGTGCCAAAATGCCCAAATGTGAAGCAAGGGATATGTTTCCTTCAACTACTTGATTCAACTCATTTGAAACAAGTTTTAAAACGCCATCATCACTAGTACCCCATCGACCATGCATATATATGGGACCCCTTGTCTGCTTTTGTGTGGCTTGACTTGAGCTAGGACCTACAAAACATAACCAAATCATGTAAGTCAATTTTTGAGGTCATGGATCAAGACTTTCATATGATAGCAGAGTGTATTTTCAGTTCCAAGTTTTGTAATCCTTTTAATGACTTAAAAAGTCAATCAATTGAGGAATCAGTCTTCAAAGAGAACCATAAACAAAATTAGTCATTTGCAATCCAAATATCCTTCAAAACCAGACTACATACATACAGCAAGCCTTGGTGATAACCTGTTAGGTTAACTAAACCACTGAAAATTTGATCAAGATTTGTTTGCTGAGAGAAATGAAGTAGAGTGACAGATCTATGGGAAAAAGCAGCATGCAATGGGAAAGGGTTGATCTAAATCTCAAAAGATCTCCTAAACAAAGCTAGATAACAATATCATAGTAACTGAACATGGAAACTCATATGAACAGTACAGAGTGTCCCTATTTTCCACCACATTTCCTTCTTTTTGCTTTTCTCATAACCAAAAAGAATAAAAATAAATTTAAGAAAATGCACTGCCACTTGACTTAATTATTGCCTTGGGTTCCTATAAATTGTTAACTACTAAACCCAGCAAATCAAAACGTAATCATCATTCAGGTACAAAAATAATAATAACAATTTTTAATAATAAGGAAACTTGACTTAATTACTACCCGCCACTCCAATATGTGTTCCATCCTCTGTGCTCCTAGACTTTTTGATAATAATAATAATAATACAGGTACAAAAATAACTTGTGAAACTAAGAGAAAGACCATGGGGCTACAATTGATGTAGCACTAAATAATTTCATTTAGCTAACTACTAAACACAACAAATCAAATTGCACTAGAGGAAAGCATCACGAAAGAAAGAAAAAAAAACATCAAGAGTGATACAGAACAATAGTCGTAAGCTTCATGTCACCAAGCCAGAGAGAGAGAGATAGAGAGAGAGTTAAAGTGAATTTCAAACAAGTAATATAGTGTCTACTAATAGGACCTTATTTCTGCTAATTGTCATGCCATTACCAAATGCAACAAGAGTAGAGAAATGGTAGTAGTCCTTTTGATTTTAATTTTATCAGTAGTAGTTTTACGTTGATAGAGCAACATCAACATTAGCAGCATACCAACAATAGATGCAACATCACTAACTGTCCTAGTGCAAAATCGTATATGCGGTCAAAGCATTATTATTATCTTGCACTTACCCTAACTTATGCCAACTTGCTGGAATAAATTAAACAAATGTTCAATTTTGAAAAATGAAATGATCTAATTCATGTCTAGCTATGGAATATCATAAACTTCTGCTAAGATAGGAATTAAGGTAGGAAGTAAACGAGGAATTAAACTAGTAGAGCCAATTAAATGAAACAGATCCATGTAGCTATTCCCAATTAATTGCTTCTATACCTTGTTGAGTTGAGTGATATATGAGAATCTTAAAATTCTTCTATCATTTGCTATAACCACACATTATGCTTTTAATTATCCAAATTCAATTTTTTTTAAAATAACCATGCATTATGATAGATAGGACTATAGATCTAACTCAAAAACACCATAAGAAAATATCAAGCAATCCCAAAGTTTATATGTACCAGCTAAAACAAAGCCATGTGATGTATTACCACTACGTGATGTGGTAGGAAGACTGCCTGGTGGATGCCATGATGTCGGTGGATCGGGTATGACTCTCATCTTAAGTGTGGCCTAAGTCTAATTTGAACTAGAACTACTAGAGCTTGATTGCTTACTTTCACTAGAAGAACGGTCAGAGCTAGAACTCATAGATAATATTTATAAAGAAACTACAAACATAAGAGTAAGGACATGCTAATCTAAACTGCATTCAAAACAGAATAAGAGTACATGAAAGGTAAAAATGGCCATTTAAAGAAAGCTACAAAGGTATAAAAGCAAAGATTTTATTAACATGAATATCCATACAGAAAACACAAACATAAAAGTGAATATGCAACCAATTACAATATCATATCATTTCTTCGTCATCTTCAAATTGTGCCTCTGTCGATGTTTCAAGAGGTCCAATAGTTTCATCAATAGTTGTTCTATCAATACCTTGCCTAACCCAATTCACGTCTTCCTCACAAGTGAAGGAAGCTACACCTAACTCTTGATCACCAAATCCTTTCACTTCATTGTGATGTAGTCCTTCATCAATAGTTGGTTATTCTTCACACACCTCATATAAGTCTCTAGATTTCATCTTGACACCATTGAAAAAAATAGATATAACCACATTTTTTTTGTGGCGTTTTTTTTTGTAAATGTCACTAAATTTGTTAACCAATCTTTTAAATTCCAGATGACAGTGGGATAACGGTGTACGGAACAGGGTACGTGTGAAACGACACAATTTTGTGTGTTAAAATAGGAGTTTTTTTTTCCCTCCTTTTTTTATAAAGGCATCTGTACCTACGAAATCCAAGGTTGCGTTTGGTAGAGTTTTGTAAATATGATTTGAGAATATGAGTTGTATTTTGAGTTTGTGAGTTGTGGAATTATGATTTGAGTGTAGAAAATTTGTTTGGTTATGGTTTTTGAATTGAATTTTGAATTGTATGTGGAATTGAGTTTTGAAAGTTTGATGTGACATGTGAAATAAGAAAATTTGTTTGGTGATGAGTTTTCAAAATAGTTTTCAAAACTTAATTCAACATATAATTGATAATCAAACACACAACTCATAACTCGATATCCGTATTTTTGATCATCAGTCATAACTAAATTATTTTTAAAATATTCAAATAAAAAAATGATTTTTTTTTCAATTAATTGCTTTTCAATAATTTTTTTGAATAATTTTTTTTTCAAATAACTTCTATGTCAATTATTTTATGTCAATTAATTTTTCTATCAATTCATTTTTTAGGCTTGTATAAACATTAACAATATTTTAAATATTTTAAAATTATTTAGAAAATTAAAATATTAAAAATATTTAGAAAAATAAAATATTAAAAATATTTCAAAAATTAAAATATTAAAAATATTCTAAAAATCAAAATATTAAAAATATTCCAAAAATCAAAATATTTACAATTAAAATATCAAAATATTAAAATATTTTTATGAAATTAATATATTAAAAATATTCCTATAAAATAAAATAAAATATTTAAAATAAAAAATATTTAAAATAAAAATTAAGTTGTTTTTGAGTTTTGAAAAGAGTTTTGAGTTGTATGTTTGGTTATGAGTTTTGAAAAGTAATGATTATAGTTTGAAATAAATTTTGAGAAATGGATGTAAAATTATGATTTAAAAACTGCAACCAAATACCACACTCAAATCAATAGTAGAACTATATTTTGAAATCTAAACCAAACAGAACCCAAATCTTTCTAGAGATATTTTGGTCTTGTTTGGTTTGTTTTTCAGAAAAATTTTTGAAAAAAAATTCTCTACAAACAAATTTTCAAGAGTAATCAAATCAAACAAATTTGTTCAAAAAAATCTCAAAATTTTATTTAATTACCTATTTTTCAAAATCACACTCTCTCATATACATTAAATCAATCACCTTTCTTTAAAACTCTCCCCAAAATAATTTTTTAAAACCATTTAAAAAAAAAACAAACCAAATAAATTTTACTTTTTATGTCAAAAACTACTCAACAAACACAAATAAGCACATCCTTTGATATTTGGAGTTTGGTGATCATGTCTTTCTGAAGATATCACCTAGGCGAGGACTGATGAGGTTTGGGAAGAGTGGGAAGTTATCCCCTCGGTTTATTGGTCCTTTTGAGATCCTTGAAAGGATAGGTGAGGTTGCTTATCGGTTAGCCTTACCACCGCAGTTGTCCGGAGTGCATGACGTGTTTCATGTGAGTATGCTTCGGAAGTATGAGCCAGATCCATCACATGTGCTGGATTGGACTGATTTAGAGGTAGATGAGGATGCCTCGTATGAGGAGAGACCGGTTCGGGTCTTGGATAGGCGGATTTAAAATCACACACTCTCTCATACACATCAAATCAATCACCTTTCTTTAAAACTCTCTCCTCAAAATAATTTTTTAAAACCATCTAAAAAAACAAACCAAATAAATTGTACTTTTTATTTCAAAAACTACTCTACGGCCACAAATAAAGCACATCCTTTGATATCTGTGGATTGAGCAGAGACGTGACTTGAGAGAGACAGAGATTGAGGGCTGATTCTTTGATTTCCATCGATTTTTGATGATTTTGATCTGGAAAATCTGTTCTCCCTCTTGACTTGAGCGTTTATCTTCGAGATTGTTCGACTCTCTCTGATCTAAATCGATCTAGGGCTCAAGGTAAGGGTTTTTTGATCTAGATTTGCTAAGTTCACTCAAGATCTGTAAAATCTCATGGCTAAAACAATGATTTGGAGTATATTTAAGTTGATGTTTGGAAATTCATATGCATTTTTTCCCCCGATCTAGCTTATTTCTGGAATTTTTGCTTTTGTTTTGTGTTCTTTCTCTTCGTTTGTGGTCTCATGCTCGTTCTAGTCCATGCAATGGGATACATGGAAAGCTCTTGTCATTCATGGCGATGGATTTTGTCTGGGGTTTCGAGTGCGGTGTCAGTGTCCCCGGACAAGCAGCGGCCAATATAATTGAGATGAGTCATAAGTAGAAGTAAAAGATATAGCGACCTAGATCTTATTCTCAGATCTGCTATCTCTCCTATCAGATCTGCAAATATCAGGTCTAAATTCTATTTGTTATTCTCTTCTAGTTTTGATTGGATTTGTGTTTAAGCCACAACACTATTTTGAGCAGTTGGAAAATGTGTTTTGTTTTAGTTTTTGACATAGAATTTTATTTGTTGACAGTCCATTTAGTATTAGCAAGTACAGAGAAATGTGTTTTGAAATAGTTTAGAAAGGATATATATATATATATATACATCAGAAGAAGATGAAAAATGACTCCTTTGAGTTTGTTGAAAAGATTGTTTACTCTATTGAGAAAAAAGGATTGGTTTTGTAATACACAAGTTTGTCCATCCCTCTTACTTTATTACAGATTGTGTTTTCTAATTGGTAATTAGAATATTAAACATGTAAAATTACATATCCCTCCTCCAGCCCAGCCAGAGACCCACCCTGCCTACCAAGAGAGGTGATGTGCTCATGCAAATTCTTGTTGGGTACTAGTTTTATTTCATTCATGCCACTTCTCTACTACTAGTAGTATTTTTTTCCAAGTATTTTAATATCTTTGTTTTGGGTATTGTTGTGTTGTTCTTCTCCTTTCTCCAACCTGAATTGTAATGGTGAAAGATCCTCTGTTCGCAAATGTTTGTTATTTGTCCTTAAAAACACTCATAATTAGTGGATTACATGTGAATCTCAGTTGTATAAGAATTTAAAACATATCCACTGATAAGGAAATTGTGCCAAAAAGGAGTGAAGTTTGCAAGTTCACTAAATGAATTTTATATGTTGCATAAATCTGGCTATCAGTCTCTTGCCCTGATATGAAAAGATTAATTGTAGTATTTGAGTGCTATGTTTGGTCTTTAATTTTAAAGGCAAATTACCCTTGTAGTTATTGTAATTTCACTCTTATGTTGATAGTTTGGTCATTTAGTTCTATTTTCCTCAACCAAAAACAAAAAAAATTGAATTTATTACCATGTTACAATTTAATGCAATTGATTATGCCTTTTGTAGAAATTGAGTTGAGATTTGGGTATTGTTGTGTTGTTCTTCTCCTTTCTCCAGCCTGAATTGTAATGGTGAAAGATCCTCTGTTCGCAAATGAATTTTATATGTTGCATAAATATGGCTATCAATCTGTTGCCCTGATATGAAAAGCTTAATTGTAGTATTTGAGTGCTATGTTTGGTCTTTAATTTTAAAGGCAAATTACCCTTGTGGTTATTGTAATTTCACTCTTATGTTGATAATTTGGTCATTTAGTTCTATTTTCCTCAACCAAAAAAAAAAAAAAAGAACAAAAAAAATTGAAGTTCTTACCATGTTACAATTTAATGCAATTGATTATGCCTTTTGTAAAAATTGGGTTGAGATAAAATTTGGTGATTATGGTGTTAGACATCCAATTTGAAACAAATTTTATAACCACTGTTACCACTACCATAGTTGGTGGGACTTAGCTGTGAGGTGAGTACCTAATGCTTTGCAAATGTTATTTCATTGTATAGACAGTGCATTAACATTGCCGAGGTCATTGAGAATGAGTGGTTTAAGAAGGGATATAAGCCTCCTGTTTTTGAAAATGAGGATGTTTGTCTCGACAATGTGGATGCTATTTTCAATGAATCAAGGGTAACTATATCTTGTTTATAATTTTAGTCAAAAAACATTTGATCATCTACCATTTCAGTTAGTATTGAGGAATAGGGCATTGGGGGTGACTTTAATTGTGATTTTTGTTTTGATGTGCAGGACACTCAAAGCCTTGTCGTGGAAAGACGGGAAGAACAACCTGTGAATCTTGTCTCCATGAATGCTTTTGAATACTTATATCTAAATCTTAGGGTCTCAACCTCAGTTCTCTGTTTGAAAAGCAAATGGTATGTCAGAGGCATATAGCTTTTTGATTGTTATGTTTTGGTAGCCGAGCTATCAGATGTAGAGATCTTTAGAATCTGAGCATTCCTTGCATTTTTGTCAATTAAGTCAGAGTTCCTATCTCATATCATGAATGAACCAGTTGATATTTAGTTTTTTTAACTTGTTTGATGATGTATGTTTCCAATGGTCAATAGTTGAGTGACTAATAACTGTCTCTATTATATTTGACAGACCCTGAACTGAAGCTTCAAGAGGAGAAAACTGGGTGCAAGGGTCATTTATCTATTGCAACAGAGGTATGATCTTTCAGGAGTCACTTGTTGAATGAAAAATCACTAGACTATCATGTGAAGCAGTGTTTAAAACTGGGTCTAAAAATAATGTCCTACAGATTTATGAGATGGCTCCCTCACTTTCACTTTGCATGGTTGAGCTTCTCAAGGCTGGAGGGGACACCTTAGAATTTCATAAGGTATGGTTCTGAAATCTCATTGCAATGGTTACACACGTACACTAGGTTTTAATGCTTATGCAATTGTTTATTTATTGGTTTTATGCACCCTACTATTCATGCTAATGTCACCTAATGAAGCTCTACATAAAATTTCTTGGATTTTACAATTAGCAAATGCAAGTGATTTTCTATTGGACAGTGGCATATCCTTGTCATCCACCTGTTTTGTTTCCCGAAATTTTAACTATAGGCTCTGTGGCTTGTCCTTATTGGAAGTTCAACCAAATTGCTACCTTTTTGTGCACAGTTGTCCCATGTTATGGAATCCCCTTTGTGCACATGTGTTGCTTTTGTATCCTGTTGACTATAATTTTTAAGCTCAACATTGCACATTCTTTATTATAGTTCTACAAGAACCTTGCAACTGGTTTGAAAGATATTGTCTGGAAATCAGGAGATGAAACAAAACAGGAAGCAAATGATGGTCAGTATACAGTAGTAATAGCAATTACCATATTTCAATTGAATATCGTGTAATGGTTTTTGAATGGGTAATGGTAATGCCAAAACTTTCTTTGTCGGTTCCATGCTAAAAATGGTACACAACACAAGCTAAGTATATTTTTTCCATATTGAGTGGGCCAAGGGGTTGAATCGATGCTTTCTAATTATTATCCGACTTTCGTTGACTGCTTATCATGGCCTGGTTCATTATTTGTGTTTTGGTTCAATGTGAAAAACAAAAAAAAAGAGAAAAGAATAGAGCCTATCAATAAAAATAGAGGATTTAGTATATGTGCTTTGATCATGAGTTTCCTTTATTTTAAAGTTTTTAGCAGTAAGACAATGCATCTGTTCACTATTAATGGTTCACAAAGCTGATACTCATTAATTTCTTACCACTGTTTATGGCTAGTCTTAAATATATTGAATATATACTGACAAGTGTAACTGGTTGCCCAAATGGTAGTGCTAGACCCTACATGGATGATTTATAATATTCACTTTGCTTTGCAGGAAAAGTAGTTTCTAAAGGATAGCTGAGTAGTGAAATATGATTTGGAATGATCTTCAACTTTGGCTTAGAAATTCTTATTGTAGGTAAGGTTTTTTTAATTTTATTCTGTGAGCCCTGTCTATTGGAACAAACTTATGTTTAGCTCTTGGGTTCCATGTGTCAGTGAGTCTTATATAATAACTGTAGGGCATGATAGATCTCTATTGTGATGCTTCAAGTTGTGTTTGTTATGCTTTTCTAGTTTATAAAGAGGATGACTGTAGGACAGACTATCTTCCTTTTCAATTTGATAACTTGATGAGGTATTTATGTCTTGTTGGTTCATTGTCTGGCCTTCTATTTTTGTTGTGCATATAACTGATCTAGTATGTTGAATTTACATTGAAGTTTTGACTCGATATCATATTAATCAACTTGAGCTAATTTGAGTTGTCTGCTTCAATGGGGTCCACTGATTAGTTGTTATGATGACCTGTCTGTAATACATATTGTTCAATGGTTATTAGATTTGTGATTTTATTATTTTTGTGCCGTGGAACTCTAATGATGGTCCTTTTCATTTGGTATTGATCTTTTACCCTTTTTGCTTATTCCAGTCATCGAGTTCATGTAGTTCAAGAAGATATGTTGCAATGTCATTGATTCAACACCATCTCCCAGGTATATTTTCTTCTAAGCTCCAAGGTGTACATATATATATATTTTTTCCTGTTTTGGAACCATGTAGTTTGTTGGCTAAACCATGTAGATTTGCTAAATCATGTAATCTGTTGTAGTTCCTTTGTCAAAAATACTTTATAAGAATATTTTTATTTTAGGATCACTTTATTTTATGTATAGAGAATTTTGATGTTGACTTTTGAATTTTGGTCATAAGTTATTTATTATTCGCAATGATTATAATTTGCTAACTTTTTATTTTATTATTTTATTTTTTTTGTGGTTGGTTTTGCTATTTTTATTTTTTTTTGACTGATTGGCCATGTTGTTCCTTGAAATAAGCATTAGCCCATGAATGAGTAATTTGTATAATCTTGCTGACTATTTCTTCTCTTTGGATATGAACTTGCGAATTTGGGTGCAGGCTTTATAATTGAACTGATCAAAACTCAATGTTAGAGGGTCTTTTTTTGGTTATAAGTTTGTTTATCTGTTGATCGGGTGCGCTCTCATTTTCATATTTTTTTTTTAATAGGGTGTTAATAGTGTCAACAAACTGACTTCTAGTTGCAAAGTATAGATTTGGAGGTTTGCAAAAAAACATAGGGGTGATTTGAAGAAAATTCAAACTGTTACAGTATGATTGAGATTTGGAAAGTTGTAGGGTTAAATCTCCAAAGAGATAAATTAAAATTTTTATGGTCTTCAATTTGGCATTGTAATTCAAATTTGAGTCAATCTGTGTTCATTTATATTAATTATCAGTTAATTCTCAATCTTTGTTCCTAGTTAAATTTAAAATTTTATGTAAATTTTCAGTTAATTTTCAATCTCTATTCCAAGTTAAATTTTTGCTTAATTGGGCTATGTTTTTAAAAACAAAAAATAAAATGACTTTTTGAAAAAAAAAATGATACTAAATGATGTTATCATGACATTACATCTGATGCAAGTATTAAAAATGAAGAAAGGTAGTGTTTTTGCCAAAAACGTTACTGAATGATGTCATCATTACATCATATGTTAATTGTGACAGACGGAAAAGGTTGTGGTTGTTAAAGATTTTGCGACGTTTTAAAAAATGATGTCTAAAGTTTTAAGTGACGCTTTTGAAACGATGCTGAGCTATTACGGCGGTCGTATCTACGACAAAAATCTTAAACGTTGCAAAAACATAGTGGTGTTTTTCAAGCCTATAGCGGCATTTTTGAAATGTCTCTTAAAGGTAAATTTCCTGCAGTGTGAGTACAACATTCTAATCTTATTCAACAGAATCATTAACATAAAAGACTTGTTGTGCATGAGATGCTAGGATGAATGGCTCATCATTGTCTTGTTTCTTTGCATATAACAAGTGATTGAAATTAACAAGTGTAAAACCAAAATCATCCTGTTTGAGTCCGTTATTGTTATCAATCCAGTTGCACATGAATAACATGCATCTATGGCCATGTGAGTAATACAATTCAATAATATCTGTCACATATCCATAGTACGCTACATTACCTTCTATTGGATTAATGTCTTTGGCACTTGCATAGCTAGAAGTCTTTGTTTTAACCACAACCCCACTATTCTTAGTTTTCTTCTCAACTCACGACTTCTAGTATGATACCTAGTACCATTAATTATATACCCATTAAATCTGGTGGCCTTTTGACTAGGTCCCAAAGCCAAAATTTTAATCTCATCTAACAACGCTACATTTTCAGTAGCTAACAGCTCTGCAACCTATTTTTAAAAGAAAGATATCAACATTAAACATCAATTAACAATTTAAAAAATATTGAAACACATGCACTTATATGAGCATTGAACCATTTGGGAAACTCATCATTGTGACGACGATCCACATCATAATCTCTAAGATGATGATGTGGCCGCTTAAATTCTGATGTTCCATACACAATTAAACTATTTGTAAAATGCAAGATAAGTATAGTTGGTATAAATACATTCACGATGAGACAGAGGTTGCGTCTATCTTACTCTCGATATGGGACAACCACAACAATGTTAAATAACACATACCGATGAGCCTGTATCCATGTTGTGTTATCAAGCACAAACCCTTTTCCTTTTCCTAAAGCCCGCCCCATTAATATCTCAAGATTGTCACTAACATTACAATTCCTTAACGGTCGATGCAATTTCTATTCGATATCATGCAAGTACCTTGAGCAAAATGTCATACATTCTTTAACTAAGTATCCCTATGCAATTGAACCTTCAGGATGACTTCGATTAAGCATATATGATTTAAGCGTTACAAGGTACCTATAAACAAAAAGATGCATACATGACTTCCAAGTATAAACAAGCAAATATATACAAAATGGACATTGGAGTAGGATTACACACCTTTTTACAAAGTACATCCATCGATATTGCATCGGACCGGCAATCTTCGCTTCCTCTGCTAGGTGAATGGGTAAGTGCTCTATTATATCGAAAAATGATGGAGGAAAAATTCTCTCAAGATGGTAAAGTGTAAAAGCAATTTGGGATTGAAGACGATTTAGACCATCCACCTCTAGGGTTTTGAAGCACAATTGCCTAAAGAATTGTTTAACTCAATTAATGGTTCAACCACTTTCTTTGGTAACAAATTTCTCACTGCTATTGGAAGTATTTGTTGCATGAGTATATGGTTATCATGACTTTTCAGTCTAGATATGCTACGTTGTTTGAGGTTAACCCAACAAGAGATATTGGATGCGTAACCATCTGGAACTTGATATTCTTCAGAAGTGTACAGAATAGACTTTTCTCTCTATTGTTGATAGCAAAACATGTAGGAGGCAAATAATACTTATTCCCAACCCTTTTCTAAGGATGTAATGCCTTTCGAATTCCCATATCTTGCAAATCTCGACGAGTATTTAAATTGAAGAATTTTTCAATTTTTTCATTTGGACCTTGTTTAATACCAAAACTTGTTGCCTCATGAATAAAGCATGGTGGAGGAAGTCCAAATCCTTTGTATAGCATTTCATAAGTTTCATCGCCATCATTCGAATCAGTTTGCCCGACATTCACATTGTGTGTCACAGGCAACGACAAATTCTCTCCATGAAAAACTCAACTAGTGTAACTTGGAAGAAACCTGTTGATCATTAAATGTTCCCCTAATAGGCCTTTCTTCACCAATTTGACATTACGACACCATTCATATGGGCATGTGACTTCATTCAACAACGGCTTATTTTTGCATGCAAATTTAATAAATTCTTAACCCCTTGTATGTATTCCGGGTGCAACTTATGCTGATTTATCCAATTGTTATCCATCTGACTCCGTCTTACACTACAAATGTTACTACTAAATCTACATAGTTCAAAGTTACCGTTTCATTTTAATTAATCTTAACTTCAATTAAGTAGCTTATAATGCATGCGGTATGACATCATTCACTTCTAACTGGTCTCTAATATGTTGGTTCATCCTACTTTCCTATTTAGGCATGCACAGTCTATATTGTAAAAAGCAGCTCATGGCACTCTGTTCATCTCTAACGAAATTTCGTATCATCTCCCCATGGTCCTCCAAATACACAACATAGACTAGGTGTACTGCTACACCTTATCTAGTATGCACTCAAAAAACATGAGGAGCTGCTACACGAAATCTCTACGAGGTGGACTATAAGCAGTATAACTACTAATTACAATACAAACTTGTGCTCCTGAACTGTCCAAATTGGACAATCCAAGAACAGCTTCATCAAAGATGACTAGGTATCTCTAATAAAGATCCTGGGACGGGGTCTAAGGCTATTTATGCATGCATGCACCATTAATGATTGCATCCTGATGGTGCAATCTAAATTGGTACTATCAAGTATACTAGAGGCATATCTAGTATGAAGCATATTAATGAAGAAACCAAAAGTTTCTGTAATGCTCTTGATAGATTATGATACATTTAAAAAATACATTGCTCTCTCAAATCAACCAATAAAGACCAATAAGTGTACCAAAGCTCGAATACTACTGATGATGATGAATCACTCAAATAAATCGATCAAGAAATACATTGCTCTCTCAAATCAATCAATAATAGTTTAATTTTGGCAGGAACTCATGGATATGGGAAGTTCAAACCCACTATTCAAACCAATAAGTGTATCGAAGCTCGAATACTTCTGATGATGATGATGATGATGATGATTCAGAAAACACCAAAGAGCAGCCACCAAATAAGGAATCACAATCACAATCACAATCAAGTCCTAACTTTGATTCTGATGATAATTTAGAGGAGCCACCAAGTGAGGAACCAGAAACATGTCCAGGGAACTTAGAAGATATTATAAAAAAAAATTAAAAATTTAAAAAAATTTAAAAAAATTGGCTTGCCAATCAGACATGATATGTCAAAATGTGTAGAACTATAGGTACCTACAAAATATGATTACCTTTGTTGTTCCCTTGAGAAGGAGAAATGGAGAAAATAATAAATTATTTCATAACATTTTAGATATTGTGTGTAAGTTACATGTCAATGTTCGATCCAGTTATGTAACGGATTATTAATGTAATTTTTAAATTATACAAATTGATAGTGCAATGTGACAAAATGTAATATATTTTAGTTAGAGGAAATAAAATAATATTAAATGATAGTTCAAAGGCGAAAAAATGACAATAATAATCTAGCTTGTTTTATATATATTTTTAGGTGTAAAACATTATTTTTAACTGAATCCACTCTATTCAAGGTGAAGGCCAATTTTTTTTTATAAACATGAAACACCTTAATGAATAGATCATAAAAAGTTCACGCATCATGAAAAGATCATGAAGGCCACTTTACGCATCATGAAATAAATATCATAAAAGGTTTTATGAAATTAATCCAAGGTGATTGCATAACATACAATAAAACATAACAAACTAATTCAATAGTGGAGAATCTTCATAAATTTTTTTATGATATTTCTTTCATGATGTCGAACATTATTGTAATGAAAACACTAATATGAGAAACACATTATTCAATTGAAAGCTTAGAGCTCCTAGTCAACCAATTAAGTCTCAAATTTTTTTGTATAATAACAAAGTACACTGTACTTGAAAACCAAATTATAACCAAAACAGATCAATCTCCTTTTCCTTTCAGACAAAAGCAGTAGAAACCTCAAATTGCAAAGAAAGAAAGCCTTTTTTTTTTCTGAACATTTAATTGAAGTTTATAGTGGATGAGGATAAAAATTAAAGCTCCGTCTGCCAATAGCCTAAGGTAAATACTAGTCAAGTAACCATAAAGTTCATATTAAGACACGAATAATGGCCAAAAACATGAATCAGAATAAATAGTTAGACATACCCCAAAGAGCAGCACTTTGAAATAGAGGTGGCATAGGAATGTCCTCTTCTGATTTGTTTATTCTTTTGGCCATATCAAAGTACAAAAAAAGGAGTGTGATTATCATCCTCAAGATAAAGCTAGAAAATCATAAAAAGCTTGCACAATTAGAGAGTCAAATCATGATCACAAAGTTTAGAATGGAAGGATGGGATTTGAATCAAATTATACGGCAGCAAAAACCTTTACATCTAGGTTGAATACATTTTCGATGTTTTTATTCAACCAATATTATTTTCAACTCAACTACCCCTCAACTTGATCAAATTACATGATATAATGAGCTTAAAAGCATTCCTACAGCCTATAATAGGCCACACCATAATATTTTAAGTTATCAGTTTGCAGAAAGGGTGCAAAATGTTTCTGGAACTCTCGAGTT